AAATCGCACTTTAACTGCAGACAGGCTGCTCAGAGACACCTAATTCTAAACTGGACAACTGTGATTTATTTTGCTGCTGCAGCAGAATTAAGCAGTTCAGATCCATGACCCACTGATCACTGACTTCCCTGGATTTCAGAAGTCCTTCCCAGCAGCTCTGCTGGGTAATTTTGAGTGGCCAGCTGTCACAGATGTGCAAATTGCAAGCGAGTAAGCTCACATATGCAAGCAGCAGAAACAGCTTCTGGCAACTTCCCACCACATAATGATTTTTAAAATACCTTTCAGCAATTACACCGGCAAAACATCAGCCCCCAAAAACAAGCAAACAAGCGAAAGAGCACAAATTTTACCCAAGTGCACAGCGGGAAAATCTGAAATACTCTGAGCAAGTAGCTGTGCTTCTGAGATTATCAGTAAAAAAAACTTTTTTCCACAAGTCCAGCCCTGAGGCACACTGTGAATGCAGCCTAGGGACACCATTCTCTCACTGAAGGAAACAAAGGTGCTGTCAGGTGTGCAAAGTGATTCCTTCCTCTTGAGAACCTGGAAGTTTAAATGGTGTTAAAGTGCAAAAGACTCAGAGAAAAAATACACCTCTGAACAAAGAAAAAACTCATTATACTTTGCACCTGTTTAAGGAAAAACTCCTTTTAACAAGTCGAATCATTAATAAAGGTGCAATTAAGTATCACATCATTAAAGGAACAGGAATGAAAACAGGGTGAACTCCCATTAAGAGACAATGCTAAGGTATCCATCTCGTTTAAAAAAAGAAATCCACACTTTCTCTCCTTGTTCCTGGTTACAGATGATCTCGTAGGGATTTGTTACTCACAAACATAAGATTGCTCCTGAAAGTTAGGAAACTGCTTTCCTGAGCTAAAAAGCTATAATTTGTTCCCATATTTCCAAGAAAAGGTGTTACTTATTGTAAAGAAGCACAGCAATGACAACAAAAAAAAAACCTTCAGGGAAAACTATCACTCATTTCAATATCACAACCAAGACATAAGCACAGGGAAAGTGACAAATTCTGCATTCTCTCAATAACAGATTCCCTTTCTGTGAACGTTGGAGGTTAGAACAGAGGAACTTCAATCACTGTGGCAAGCAGCCAGCTCATGAATAGCTTGCTAACATCAACAAGACTATTCGTATGAACAAATGCTCAAAATGACTATGAGACTTCTTGTATATCCTTTGTAATGGTAAAATCACCGGGATTACTGTGGTTTCTAAGTGCTCTCCCACACAGATGAAGAGCTGAAGTCAAGAAGAGTGCTCATGTGAGGAGCTCTGTAAGAGCTGCTGATAAACACTGAACTGCTCCTTTGGTTTTAGCTTAAAAAAAAAAAAAAAATAGAGCACAGTGGAGCAGAACTACTACTGGACCAGCAGACACCAGGCTTTGACTAACTCTAACTGAGTGCCTGAAGTGAGATCCTGACATGCACTGCTCAAGAAAAATACAACTTCTACTGCCTGAACAGTTATGGTTAACTTCCTACTCAGCTCTGCTGGAAGACCACGAGATTTCAAACCACATCCTCAAAGTAAAGAACGGGGCTGGCAATACATAAAGATCTGTGAGAAAGGAAGCACTGGAACTAGCAGCAAGGTGGGGTTGCCTGCATGGGCAGCCCTTCATTTGAATGCAAATGTAATTTTGGGGCAGGCAGTTATCTGTGACATCAGGCAGGACCTTAGTAAACTGTTACCACCAGCACCTGGTAAAACCATTGTTAATCATGTGTAGTAAAGGGACATCAGGGCTAGCAGGAGTCATTTATAGAGCCAGGCTGGGCTAGAAAAGAGAGAAAGAAAGAGGAGGGGAAGGGAGATCAAACAAACCCTGCGAGGAGCAGGATGTCCCAGCAAGACAAAGGCAGGCTGTGAGCATCATGTACGTGAGCTATCTGTTGGATAAAGACACCAGCATGTATCCGGGATCCGCAAGGTGCACCAGTAACACCCTGCCCGTGCAGAACTTCGTGTCTGCTCCAGCCTACTCCGAGTACATGGGATACCACCCTGTGCCAGCCCTGGACAGCCACGGGCAGCCGGCCTGGGGCTCCCACTACGGCCCCCAGCGCGAGGACTGGAGCGCCTACGGCCCAGGCCCTTCCAGCGCCGGGCCCGCTGCCCACATCAATGGCTCGTCCCCTGGCCAGGGCTCCTACAGCTCTGCTGACTACAGCTCCCTGCACCCCGCTGCTGCTGCGGCCTTACCTCCTGTAGATACAATCAATGCCCAGCAAATGTCTCCCAACAGCCAAAGGCACAGCTCTTATGAGTGGATGAGGAAAACGGTGCAATCCACTTCCACAGGTAGGAGGGCGCGGAGGTTTTGTGCTGAGAAGGGATTTTTATTTGTTGTTGTGTCATTGGGGGGGTTTTGCCAGGTTCCCTGTTCAGAGGAAGGATTCAGATTGATAAAGAAAGATCCCGATTGCTCTGAAGGATTCTCTTGCTAGCAGTTAAATATTGGTTTAATTACTGGATGCTGGGTTTGGTCAGTTGATTATTTCTTGGGTTTCTTGCTTGATCTTTAATCCTGTGGGAGATGGAAAGTAGTGTCCTTTCATTCCTCACTTCAGATATGTTTTTAAAGTTTGTGATATCCAATAGCTGCTTTTAATAGGAGTTCTATAGATTGGGATGACACAGGAAGTATTGTATTTACCCCCACCTATTCTTTGCTTACTTTCCTCAAGTTTTGGAGTACCTAGGAAAAGTTCAAGTAAAATATGCACAGCAGGGGGTTGGCAGTAAGGCTTTCTACCAGAAAGAACCCCTCCAAACCTCAGAACACTGAAATGAGATCTGCAAGATCAAACAATGAGTCAATGCTTCAAAAACAGGAATGATAAGGAAAGGCTTGCTTCACTTTGTAGTAGCAGCTCTCAGAATATGCAGGAATACAAAGATCCATGGTAACACAGCCTGGTAATACAGCCACAGATTAGGCTCTGCTGCAAGTCAAGGAGTACAAAACAATTCTTCAATTGTATTTAAGCAGCAAAAGTAAGCCATGAACCTTGAGGGAAAGGTTCTGTTTGATTGGGAGGAGGAACAAAAGAAAAATATTAACAGTGAGCATCCCTAAAACAAAAATCTGCACCCTGTATATGAAAAAAATATTAAACAAGAAAGGGGAGAAGAAAAAGAGGGGAAACTGCTTGAAAAAAAACAGAGGCATAATCTGCTGTATGAAAGTATTTGATTCTCTGAGGTGCTGAGCAGCTTTGACATGCACTGAGATCAGTAGAAATTAGGGATGCTCAATTCCTCCCCTAAAGAGATGATCCAGTATTTCAGTGCTGCATCCCAGGAAGGTTCTTTCCCTTTGCCTCCCACCCTCCACACCTGCCTGTAAATAAAAGTCTTCAAAGCAGGGACTGAATCAATCTCTGGTGGAAAAGCAATTACTTAAAACAGACATTAGAGAATTGAAAGCAACTGCATAGAAAACTTGTCTGTATTAAAATAATGCATCTAATTTGTATGGGCAGAGTCCTCCTCACTCATGGTGAGCACAACTTTAGTTCATGGAGAGTTCACAGAATTCAATAGAGCAATCAGAACAGGCTGTTGCTCTATGTGAATAAGAATTTGGAGGGACAAAAAAGTTTGTATTTTTAAAATCGTATTTGTCCTTCACTGAATATCATCCAAGAAAAAACAAAACAGGGCCTGTTTTGAAAAGACTTGCAGCTTACTTTTGAGGAATCCTACAAGGGCAACAAAATTGCTCATTAATTGTGGGATTTACAGATGGCAGAACCCTTGCTCAAAAAACCCACTGCCCCTCATCCCTCCCTGACCTGCTTTGTGCTCCTGTGGACCCCAGTCACACCAAGGGAGCAAAACCTGATTTGTTCTGTGCTGTCCCTTTGGTAGTGGAACACTGGGATAGATTGATACAGCACACACTCATACAGAGATATATATACATAATATAAAATACCACATTCTAACTGCTGCTCAAGAAGAACTTAGAGATTTCTAACTTTCCAAATTTCAAGCGTACAAAGGTCAGAGCATTCCCAGGAGAGCTGAGAGTGTCTCCTTTCTGGAGACACTTGTTCTGGTCTAACAAGACATTGAGCATATCTGTGTCCAGAACTGGAGAAATCAGCAGGCCATAGGAACAGACCCTCCCAAATGCCCATGGGCCAGTGGAAGGCTACATTTAAAAGCTGCTGAGTGCTGCTTTAGGGAAAAAATCCAGAGGAGGAATTCTCCTGCTGCTTCTTTCCCTCTTATCTATATATTAGTATTTCTGCTAGGCCAGGCAGTCTCAGTGCCAGCAGATCTGTTTCACTGGAGTTGGTTCCTTTCTCTCCCTTCACTCTTTATCCTCTGTCTTTTTCTGTTTAAAAGCAAGGGCACTGGTATCCTTCAGGGTTTCCCAAAAAATAAAATAATTTAAAATATTTTCTTGCAGCAGTGTCAGCTCTAGGAAAGCACCTGAGTGACTTTGGTTCTGTACATGCAGGTGTTGCAGTGATTTCAGGGGTGTGAGCAGGCTCACTGCAAATGTTGTTTGCTGCATCATGATCAAACCCCTCAGAATTTTCTTAGCTTTTTACATCCTTAAAGCTGTCTTTGTTCACTGAGAGTTATCCTTCTGTCTCTTTACAAAACCTTTGGGCATTTCAGTAAAGGTCTGGTGTTGCAAGAATGAAGGAATCACTCTTATTATTTATTAGCTTTCCTTATTCCCTGTGAGTGGATACAGACCACTGTTCTTAATGATGAAAAAAATGAGGCTCAGACTTACCTGAGGTGATCACAACAGTAATCATTTAGACAAAATAATTCTGCCATTTATTCATTACATTCTGCAAAGCACTAATTATCAATACTAATACTACCAATAATATTTCATTGTGAAAACAATAATTATTAAAGCAAGTAATTTTTGCAAGATATTCTCAGAAGTGTGCAAGAAATGTTCCTGTAGTCTTATCCCTTTAAGGCTGGGCGAAGTTCTTGCCAAAGGTTCACTCACTTTGAGTAGTCTGACTTGGAGCAGCTACAGAAACAAGGCCCTGAAACCGTGGCATTCCCATCTCCAGAGGTTTCATGCTTATCTTCTCTTACTGGTGCTTTGCAGCCTCATGTCCTGACAGATGACAAACAAAACACTTTATTGTAATTTCTACCACTGCCTCATGCCCTCCAGGTCTTTTGATACTGTTATCTACACAGCTAACCTGAAACAAAGGAACAAATTATTTCAAGTTTTACTCTGTACCTTTAAAAACAACATCGATGTAGAGCCATGTGTTCAACTGATGTAAAGTGAAATTTGTGAGGTTACCTGAAACCTCTGGAAGATCTCATTATTTAATGTGAGATTATCATCCTGATTTTATACTACTAGAACACATTTCCTGCAGGAAAGTCCTGCTGAGGCTTTCATGCATCCTTCTTTCTCTGACTGAAGCATGGCTGTCTGTCCCTGCCTTGGCACTGCAGGGATTGGATCCTCGATGCAGAGCATGTAGAATCCAGGGCCCTGTCTCTGCACTCCTCAGGAAAAAGCCAAAGTGTTTTGACTGAGAACACTTGAAGAGGAATCACTGAGTACTCGGGATTTTCAGCCACAAACACTGAGAGAAAAGACTCTGCTCCAACCCTTACACTGTGCCTGTCTTCTCTACCTCTCCTTAGAGAGGGTGAGCACAGCCCGGACAAGGAGCAGGCAGAAATGTGAGGTGGTAATTCCACACACACAAGACATAATTGCAGGCAAATTCTTTGATGGAAAGTAGAATAAAACCACCTTAGAAGAAGCTACAAATCTCATCCTGTTGATTTCAGGATTTTTATGGAGCTATGTCATCACTCACACAGGAGTAGACTTGACTTTATGACTGTGTGAGAAAACAACACACACCTGTTGTAAAAGTGTGCCCAAAACACTGAGTTTGGGCAGGGAACTCCCAAGAGAATTTGCTCACAAAGCTGAAAGTGCACTTTAAGATCTGCACTTATGTTACCATAAAATAGGGTGGGGACATGTTTTGAAACAGGTGAACTGATTCAGAGGAGAGATTTTTTCCTGTAGATGACAACTCTACTATCATTCTTCTTCAATAAAAATTTACTCTTCAGACACAAAAGACAGTTTTCTGCTGCTGATGACAGGAGAACTGAGAGCATCATGACTAAAAGCACTGCAAATGTATCACACTTAGTCTTTGAAGGAAGAAGTTCTATTCCCTCAAATGGAAGAGGAATAAGCCTCTTTAGAGGCCATTCCTGTAAAATGCTCAGTGCTAAAGAACATGCAACACTTGGGAAAAATCTCAGTAAATCACTTTCCTTTTAGTCTACAGTCATTGGCAATGGGCTTTCCCCTGGTTTGCCACTCAGAAATCCACTGACATTTTCTGCAGGTTGAGTGCAGTCATTGCTTAAAGATAATAAAAATTACTCTGCTTTGGATCCAATTCCTTCTCTAGATGAAGATGAATAGAAAAGTTGACACTAGCAAAGGGAAGAACAGAATTTGGCCAATGAGCTTTATTCCAGAATAGCAGAACATATTCAAAATTGAAAACAGAAGGGAAAATTCAAGTCTGTTGAAAGGTTTCAGTTCTATGATTCTATTCTGTTTTTTCAGCATGAACAATCTGAGCATGTATAAAAGAACAGATGACAAGATGTAGCAGAAAATACAAACAGAGAATTACACTGGGTTTCCCAAACCTTTAGCACCTAACTTTGCACTAATGCACAGGACCAGGACACCCACTCACCACACTAAGGTTTCTGGCAAGAACATTATATAAGATTGGATCTATGTCACATTTTTTAATACAGTGGCTGGTGGGGTTTTTTAAATTTAGCTTTACAGAACATCATGCGCAGCACAATGTTTGTCTTCAAAACTTGTTTAAAATTACTTTTGCTTCACAATTTCAATTAAGTCAGTGAAATTACTGACTTAATTCAGGGAGAATTTGTCCCTTACTTTTCCTATGCTTCTAAAGTACATAGGTAGTTAGAGTCCTAAACAAAACTGAGGCCTGATCTCTGTCAGTCTGTATCTTTATAAACTCAAAAATTAACATCAGTTTTTAATACTAAAGTAATAGAGATGCAAGTGGGAACAGAGCATATCCTCAGGCCAGAAGCTGTTTGACATTTCTGGGATAATTTAAGGTAACATCCAGCCACCAAGCACAGCAATAACTTCCTCTGAAACGCTGCTAAGCCCTGGGATCCAGGCTGCAATGCTTTGTCAGCAATCCCACAGAAATCCCACACTATCCTATCCTAGAACATCTTCAGGCAGCTTCTGATTTTATGAAAGATGCTGTTTCAGGGCCTGCAGAATATTCCTGAAAAGTGAAGACAGGAGGCTCTGAAAGAGGGCCCAGGGCTGGTTCTAATGCTAATTTATTTTGCTTTGTAAACAAGTTGTGAGGTCCGATGGTGGGTTTTTTCCCTTTCCTGGCCTACATTGTCTGAGGTTTTGAGGCCTATCTGTCATATTGAGGCAACAGACCCTTTTAACACTTCACTTTGCTTTGATATGCAGTCTTGTCTCTTCCTTCTCCCTCTTTTCTTCAGGAGTTATATTGCCGGAAAGGGTGATGATTTTCACAGCAAATAAAGAGGCCTTCTCCCAGCTTTATTGTCTTCAGAAGAAATACTCTGTGAATTTTATGACCAATGGGAAAGCTGTTCCCTTCCCCCAACTCAAAACTTGGCCAGTCAAAAATTGCCAGAGTGGGTGTGATGGAGCAGCATTGTTAAACTATATCCCACAAAAAGATTTCCAGCTCTGAAATGTCTGATTTCTTGTGGGTCCAAAGGCACTCCTCAGTAGTCACTAGAGCAAAAGAGGGTTTTGACAAAACTCCCTCTTCTTATACAGCTCATTGAACCCAGGAAACCCACTCCCCCAGCACAAAGGCAGGCAGGCTGCAAAGGTAGCTGCTTCAAAGCCCTTTTGTTTCATTTCTCTTCCACCCAGCACCAATAAGCTCTGCAACCACAATTCCATGGGAGAACTGTCCATGCCAGAACATATCCCATATAGAACTGACACAGTACTGCTGACTGTAATTGTAACCTGTCACTAACAACAGACAGATTAATTAAGATGGTACGAAGTCAAATGTGGGCTATTTCACTCACCTAAGTGAGGAAAATATGCAGGATTCCATTAAAGAATTGCATTAATACAAGGACTTTCATCATTGCATTATTAAATTTTGCCATTATGTCCTCAGAAGTGAAGAACATCCTCCCACTATCTGTGGGGTGAATCCACTAGTCCCACCTCAAATTCTACTCAGGTAATATTTCTCCTGGAAATAAAATGCAATTGAAATTAAAACCAGTAGTTCTGCAGAACTCAGTGGAGTGGATCTGCTCTGTGTAATAGAAGGAATTCAGAAGCTGAAGTCCCAGACTGTTTAGGGATGGGTTCTGTTGCTGCTGTTTGTTAATTCTGGCAAAGAAAAGTGTGCTTTGCCTTTGAAAGGAAATACCATGTGCAGACTAATTCCAGCCCAGCATCCAACAAAGGCAGTAGGAAGACTCTCAGTAACACCAAGGAGAGTAAAGGCCTAAAAAACTAAAATATGGCTCTGCCAGAGCTAAAAGTGTCTCTTGGAAGACTCTGGCAGATCTCAGCTACCACTGTCTCTTGTCTCTCACACACAGAATTACTCCACACATTAAAAAAAATCAAATTATTAAAGACAAGGTTTATTTGACACATCAGAGAATTTTTCTCAGAGCATTTCTCAGAATTTCCTTTTGCTTTTTACTTTCTAAATTATTTTCTTAACTTTAAGAAAGAAATTAGATGTCAAAGCTCCCAATCTTCCTTCAAAAAGAATCTAGATATTATCAGTTCCACTAAAAAAAAACCCGGAGAGCTACTCGTACAAAAATAAAATATCTTATGGGAGAAAATTCTGTTTTCCATGTACATTTAATTTCTTCTTCTAAAAAGAAAGAAAAAAACCCAAAAACAAACAAAAAACCCCACCAAAACAAACAAAACAAAAAAAAAAAACAACACACCACAACCCTCTCCTATTCAGGCAGTAAGGGTTTAAGAACTTAAAACCAGAAACAGGAAGGTTTTTCTTGAAGTTTACCACCTTGTTTTGGCAATAGAAGAACATTTGATATTTGTCTGTGCCTTCTGAATGAGAATAGAGGTCAAGATAAGATCACCTTGTTGCTCTTTTGTGTACTCCATCTTAACAACACAAAGGACACTAAGGAAACATGTTAAACATTTTGTCCCGTAGAATGACCCCAAATTCTCATTTGAAGAGGAAAAAAACCCTTAACCAAACTACCAGTTAAAGAGATCAAAAGTTAAAAAATATCAAGCGAGACATTAAAGCACCACAGGTTCCCATATGTTAAACAAACAATTTACACTTCCAGTGAAGGAAAACAAATGTCCTGGTATTTATGTGGACTGAACTGAATCACTGCTGTTCCTTAGAGACTCTACAATTCTTACCTTAGTGTTCTAAAATTAGCAGCACTTTTCACTGGATTATCAGTGTAAACGTCACTGGGCTAATTCTTGCTCCCACTGCAGTTTCCCAGAGGTGGAAATGCCAGCGAATGAGAATGTCCTGCACATCTTCCCCAGCCAGACAGCACCTTCACAGACAGGTAGCAGATTTGAGACAGGACTGAGCAGAACCCACAGCCTAAGGAGCAATCCCACATCTATTTTCCCTATTGAAATATTCCAAGTAATCAGGCTGATGGCCTTAAGAAGGGTTGGATGATGCCCAGAGCATTGTAAAGGCACTATTGATGCTCCCCCAGGCTTGGAACATGGGAGCTGAAGGACCAAATTCTGATGAAGATTTGGTTCTATAAGCCTGGGGAGAGTCCTAGAGAACCCCTGTCTTGTAGGGTGAACCAGAACCATCCCCATCCAGGTTATAAAGGGATTTATTTACAGCATTGCACTGCCCAGGACTTCCAGTGCTTACCACCTCTGGCTCTGGGATCTATACAAATAGTACAAAGAGGAGCAGAACCTGAAGAAACTTCTTATGCAAGCAATAGGTTGGTGAGCCAAAAATTCTTAGAAATAGCAAAGTCCTGACTGTCAAATACTGGAAGAGGCAAAAGTGACCCTATATAGTGTGTATGGCAAGTGGAAAGCAATGCTAACTTTAAATATGTTCCATAAAAAGCAAAGAAACACCACATCTCCCTCCACAGATGGGGGAAAAACACTAACCCAAGATTCTGCTGTAGTCCTGTACCCTGAATGCTGATCTTTGGGAGCTATGAAGGGGAGTGGGAAGGAGGGGCTGGGTAGGAATAGGCCTTTGGCAGCACTGAGAGATGGCCCCTCCTGCTCCTCTCTCCAGCCAGGGAAAGCTGGTGGCTCTGGGGCTCTGTCCCATTGGGATCTACTCAGACATGAAAATGTTACCAACTCCATGTCTGGGAATCCATTTCACCCCATTCCAAATTAACTGCTCCTATTAGAGTGTAATTATTAGGAGCTTGTGGCACCTGTTTTTTGAGGAGTTAGGCAGTCCTGTAACCTTGTCAGAAAAAGCTCTGTAAGCAAACAGGAGCTGCTGTGCAAAGCCACACGGCACCTGCAGCAACAGCAGGTACAGGTACAAACACCTGAGTTCTGTGCATCACCTGAGAGAACCTGAACCTGAGGGGGTTCTTCTGCTGCAGTGACCACTGAGGACACAGTTTCACGACCTCCAGCATCACAATGTGACACAGAGCAAAAAAATACTGAAAATATATTCCCTGTCCCAGACAATTCACTGGCTAAATATGCACATCTGAAGGAATGTCCATATAAATACAGGTAAACAAGGAAGCACAAAAAAATGGTAAGATTGTGGTCAGCAAAGATGAGAACACTGGTCTTAACACAACAATGATCCAATTTGTTAAAAATGTGGGAAGACCTCAGGCTTTGGCTTTAAGCAGGTGCTGATCTCCAATATATTGATTCTCTAAATCATAAAACACAGAGGAAGGGAGACAGCAGCAGCCTTTTCCATTCTCAGCTTTCTTTCAGAGCAGCCACACATTCTGTCCTCAGAAATGACCCCGTATGGAATCCATAAAATTTCAGCTCCTTGCATCTGTGTTCCCTGGCTCCTGTCATCTGCCACTGCCTTTTAATGCCCTGGATGCTGCTGAGCCGTGTCTGCTCCACTCAGCTGCACCCAGAGCTGAAGGGAGGCAGCAATGCTGCTCCCAAAGCAGCAGATGCTGCAGTTCCCTGCCCATTGTGAAGTATCATTGCTTGCCTTTTCTCTTTTTTATGAACTGTCATCTGAAAATCTATATTACTGTTCCCTGTGCTGTTATCGGGCCGTGGGCAGACTGTGCCAGACTTAATGGGAAAACACAACCTCCAAATTGCAGTAACAATCACAACGTTGTGGGAATTTTTCTAGCAACAAGAAGTGAGGAACTTTGGAAGCTCTCAATATTTTCTGTGCAGTAAAATGTCTGTGAGTTTTCTGTCAGGCAGGTAAGAGTGTCAGCTCTAGGGACAGAGACAAAAGCAATGCAACACCAGTCAGGATGTTTGCAGCAGAGCTGGGAACAGAACCCAGGTTTCCTGGCTCCTTATTCTTACCAGGAATGCCTTCCCTTTCCCAAATGATAACACAGGGGTGATAAAGAACACGAGAAGCAGTTTATTATCTATTTGCTAAGGAGCAAACCTAGTATCTGATGGTATGAACCTCTTGTGTTGTAAATCACGACCGAGTCAAGGGAGTTACTCTGGGTAAGTGCATAGAGAATCAGGCCTAAAATCCCCCCAGATATTTTCAAATGCAAAGCCAGATATTTTGTGGTGCTAAAGTGAAAAAATTCTAGCTTGAAGCAATGTGTTCTTCTTTCAAAACAGGTAAAACAAGAACGAGAGAGAAGTACCGAGTGGTTTACACAGATCATCAGAGATTAGAATTAGAGAAGGAGTTTCATTACAACAGATACATTACAATCAGGAGGAAGTCTGAACTTGCTGCAAACCTAAGACTTTCCGAGAGACAGGTAGAGTATGGATCAGCCATCCAGGCTTTCCTTTGGATTTATGACTGCTGCTGAGGAGATAACTGTATGGTAAATACAGAACACAGAAATGTTAATGCCTCAAGTAACCAAGCACTGGGTTCCCTGTGCAGCAGAACCTAAACTAGGGCTGTGCAATAACCCAGGAAATGCACACACCGTCTTTTTCCCATTCTGAGAAACACGAGCTAAACCACATCACCAAAATCCTGCCTGGATTTCTCTCTGGGCTGTGACAGCAAGGAGAATTTCATGCTTTCTAAAGCAGAAGTCCTGGTTCTGCTGGGAATTCAGTGGGAATTCCATAACCAAACGCAACAAGGTCGGTCTTAGCGGAGATGGAAGTGATGAGCTCAAGTATGGGCAGGACACTTAAAGGATTTTGTTTCCTTGGCTGCCTTGTACCTTTTGTTAAAGGTTTCCTACATACGTGCTACTCCTTTCTCCTGCCCCATTTCCTCCCCTCCAAATTCCACTTCTGTTCCCAGAAGATAAATCAAAACACAATCCCGTGATTAGGTCTGATTCACTATTGTTTTATGAGCTCTGCTGAGCAGGAATTGTCCAGAGCCCACCCATTGTAGCACTGTCCATCCAACCTGCCCCTGGGCTCACACAGCACATGCTGAGCTTACAGAAATGGAGAAGCAAACACCCATTTTGCATATATTCCTCAATCTGCTGCTGAATGCCAGGATTTAATTGTTGAAAATTAAAATTGTTGCAGCTAGGTATAAAAAATACACTATGTGTCTTTTTGCTGGCTGTTAAAACATTCATAATTTGACTTAATAATGGTGAATTTGAGTATTATGGCCCTGCTTCTGTTAACAACCAGTGATATTTACTTGAAACTTCCTAGATCAGTGATAACTCCTGATGAATGTTTTGTAAGTGTATTTGAAGAAGTGAAACAAAAATATGGGATCTATTTCTTTGTATATATTGGGGAAACATGGCAACAGCTTTTGCAGTATTTGTTCTTCACCATCATCAATATATCAAGAACAAAATTAATTCCAGTTCATACAACCTACATCTCTGAAGTGTTTTTTTAAAAATGGAAGATTAAGTAAGAAATACCTGATAGATTCTCACCACCACCCTTTTGTACAAATGAAAAAACTCCATCATATGAGCACAACTGAACACATACTGTTCTATCCCAAGTTTCTCTGCACACTACCTAAAACCTCAATTGATTTTCTGGACAAACTTTTTTCCTGCCTCTGCCAAAATCCGAAATTCCCTGGAAGGAACATCTCAAAAGAACAAAGAAAAATTGTTTAAACAAGGAAGGAAAGATGCAATATCTAATTAAGAAAAAAAAAAAGGCAAAGTGAAGCACTGTTAACATAGGAAGGATACAGAAATAAAGGACATGATGAGGATGAGAAAGAAGAGAGAAAATCAGACTTCAGGGGAAGAGAGATTTGCATGAAAAAAAGAATTGAAAGGAAGGAAGGCAACAGGTGAAGAACAAGTCAGACAGATGCAGCTGGCCCTGTCAGCTTTTAGTCTGACATTACCAACCTGCTCTAACTTAGACTTATTTGATAATTGGCACACGACCCTGCAGTGCCTACTAATTCCTCTCTGCAGATCTGCTTCCCTAGTTTAACAACAAACCAGAATAAAAACCTCAATTCACAGGCAGGCAAGAACATTGAAGCCAAAGGGTAATTCTGGAATGTTGGTTTAGTTTTTAGATGTTTAATCTTTTCATCCATTTTGGCACATATATGAGAGAAATTTAGAGATGAGAATGGATTATCTCTGCACAGTCAGAATGCAAGAGATCTGAGAGGGCTTGAGACTGGCTTAATAGCACATAATTTGGTACTGAAATGATATTCCAGAACTAAGACAACAAAAGGAACTGCCAAACATCTCAGATGGCAGCCTGGGACTTAAGAGACCTGGATTAAATTTACATGGGCTTTGCATGTATTTGAATCCTTCAACTGTAAAATGGAATGTAGTGCCTCTAGGAGAAGCACCCTGAGACTGTCACAGAGTCCTTAAGATGTTTTGTTGGGCTTCACCAGTGATCTTCTTTTAAAATGCAGCCTGGTAGCCACGGTGTTATCACCTCTCACTGTTTTACCTCCTTTCCAATCGTTCTCTTTCCCCTTCTAGTTTCTAGCAAAAAATAACTGAACAGACCAATATTTCTCAGCAAAATATTGATTTTTTCTCTTTGGGTTATAGAAAACGGTGACAGAAGTGTTCCCTTTGCTGCCTGCACAAAAAAACAACAACAAACCTGAATGAGGTAGCATGACTTATTACACCGACATGATCCAGAGCCACTTCCAAGGATAAATTGCTGGAGTGCACAGCTTTAAATCCAACCCTGGGGATTCACATCCAAAGCCAGTCCAGTTACCACAGAACATTTCACACCTCAGCAAGTTCTGCAGTGTTTTCAGCTGACCATTACTCACCTTCAGCTCACATCCTCACTTGTCCCACCCCGATGAAGATCCACCTTCAGCAGGTCCTCCATTCCTTCCCCAGGGTAGCTGGACAGGGCAGGGACACTGGTGCCACTGGATTGTGTGGGAAGCAGCAGCAGATTTTGGCTCCACCTACAAATGAAGTAGAAAGCACTCAGCTATTCAGGCACTGCTAAGACAATATTTTGAATTAACGTTGTGTATTGCTGGTGAAATTCTGTTCAGAAGTGAATTTCCACTGGTTTCCACACTGGAACTCGCTAATTAACATGCACCATCCAATCAGGAAAGCTTTTCTGCCTCAGTTTATAGGCCAGGAGCAGATCTTGGCTTGCCCTGACTAGGGCATACAGTTTTCAGTGTAACAATACTTTTGCATAATTTTGGCAATCACTAGGACACATGAGATTCTGTTGTGTTAGATTTTGTTTCAAAAAATTAAATAAATCAAAGCTCATCCATAAAGAAATAACTGAACTAACAACAAAACTCACTTTTTATCAAGCTATTATTAAACTTTTTTTACTAAATAGGAAAGATTACATGTATGAAAAGCAAACAGCTCTGTTATCTGAAATGTCTGTCAATGCGTTTCCCAGTGGTCCTCATGCAACTGATTTTCCCTACGATTCTGTGACAAAGCACACAAAGGACCACACTCAGTATGGCAGCAACTGAAAACAATTTTCCTCTGCTCCTCTGCAGGTGAAAATCTGGTTCCAGAATCGCCGAGCCAAAGAGAGAAAATTAATGAAGAAGAAAATGACTCACTTTGACGGCAGCAGCAGCCTGGGCTCTCTGCAGAGTGACTCCGGCTCGGTGAGCCCGATGCCGGGCCCCGAGGCACAGACCCACTCGGACCTGCCCGGCTCCCTGTTCCCCGCGCCGCCGCCGCCCGCCGCTCTGGCCATGGGCGGCTTGCAGCACGGAGGGAGCCTGCCGCAGGTGGTGGCCTCGCAGTGAGCCTGCCACGGCGGCACCGAGCCCACGGAGCGGCACCGCAGCACTGCAGGACCCGGGGGGAGTCCCCAGCGTGACACAGCCTGGGGCACACACGCTTCAAGGACACTAAACCAGAGCCACACTAAACCAGAGCCAGGCCTGCGGGGGAGCCACGGCGGCACCGAGCCCGCGGAGGGGCACCGCAGCACTGCAGGACCCGGGGGGGACCCCAGCGTCACACGGCCTGGGGCACACACGCTTCAAGGACATAAACCAGAGCCACCCGCCAGGCGTGCGGCACAGCACCAGCTCCCAAGGGCCAGGGAACTGCAGGAGTCCCTGGGGAAGGGGATGGATGCCTGTGCCTCAAGGCCAGGAGCCCTCCGGCCGGGGAGCAGCTGCAAGGCACGGCGAAGGAGAGCCCAGGAGCAGCCACCGCCACTCGTTCCACTGCAGACACAACAAAAGCACCAAACTTGGCCCAGGCAATCAGTCCCACTCTGCTGAGGCAGCTGTGCCCGAGAATATTCCTGCTCCTTTGATCTCCACAGTGCAGGTTCCATGTGCTGATCCCACTTGTGGCTTTACACGTGCATCTTGAGAAATGCAAACCTGGCTGACGCGTTTTGACCCGCTCGATGGAAAGCCTGGAGCCGGGTGGTGGCACTCACTGCATGTTAAGGGCAAAGGTCAGGGATGAGCTTTTTGGAATTTTGGGGGGTTTGACAGGTATGATTTCCAATGTTCCATACACTGGTGTAAACAGGCACTCTTCCATCTTACTATAAATGTTTTGAAAGCGTTCAGGAATTGTGAATCTTGGCCCAAGTTCATTTTTGGACAAAGAAAATTCATGTCAGAATCATTCTGGATCCTAAAAGAAAGAGCAAAGCAGGGCAGAAATCCTTTTAAAAAGTGTAAGTGTTTCAAAAAGTGACTGCATTTCATGAGACAGCAGAGCCCATGGATAAAGATGCAATAATAGCATTCAACCAATTTTAAATCTGATCCAGTTTTATGAGTGATTGTATAATAAAATTTGAGAAGCCAAATTAATAGAAGAAAAAGCAAACAAAATACTTCACTTAAAATAAAGCTCTCAGCATTTTTCATGTGGGTCTCAATTCCTGAAGGGCTGATCCCTTCCATACTAAGCAGAATTTTGTAGGTAATCAGTACTTAACAATAATCTGGATACTTATTTCCCCAATATGATTCCCAATTGCATGCACAAAACTTTTGTCTGCAAAGGGAAAATTTTTAGAGCACATGAGTGATTTGGGAAGTTATTCCCTCATTGTCTAAAAAGTTTAGAAATTTAGGATGCCTGTCCTCAGTAATTTCCATCAAGGTATCCCCTGAAACCTCTCTGTCACTGTTGCAAATGAGACTTAGGAGCATTAAGTCATTTAGGCACTACATTCTTGGGTTTGTTCTTTAATTATAACAAATAGTACTATTAGAGTATCAAAACGTTGGTGATGTGAAATTACTTTGTATATAAAGAGCATTAAAATAAATGCCTTTTTTCATAACCATTTTGCAATGTGTATCAGCTACTGCAGCAAGTGAACCTGCAGATTTTCATGATTAGTCTGTTCTTGAATTGCAATATCATGTTTAAAAGAAGAGTGATGGTGAAAGAGTTTAGAGAAATCAGACAAGCATGAGAAGAGCAGGATGGTTCAGGGAGCCAGCAGCTTTCACTACTTAGTAACTGGATTAATAATTTTGTTTGCGAGAAGGACAGTGCTAAACAAAGGCAGAGTTCAATGAAATGGAGAAGGTGCACTGTAAAATTGTAGAATTCCCACTCATTCCTGTGCTCCAGTGGTGCTCCATTTGCTGCCAAGAGCACAGGTAACACAGGGGAGAGGAAGAAGCTGCAACTCAAAGTTCAGCAACAGAAAGTCTCCAACTGATTTCTACATTGTAGGAAAAGAGGAACATGGCAAAGAGCACATGGGAACAAAAGGGATTTCCCATCCTCATCAATGAGCATTGCAACCAAACTGCTGTCCCAAGAAAGAGCCATTGGATCTATCCAAAAGAGCAGCCCACTGGAAATACACAACACAGCCATTGTGCTGGCAGAGGGAAATGTTAGAGATCTTATTCACATATACACAGATATTTAACTTAACAGAGACTGAAAAGCTTCACTAGGAAAAGCATCCTCACACTGGCCAATTAAATGGAATTGTGCTTGCAGACTAGAGAAAAAACAATTAAAAATCCAGATTTAGACTTTCAAAAGGTAAGAATACAGAGGGAAACTTTGTCTTTTGCACTGATATACTATAAATTAAGACCTAGTTCAAGCTAAGTGATCAGAAGCCTGGCCCCAGGGTTCTGCAGAATCAGGTCCACAGCTACCTATTTTAATCCCATTTTCATGACATAGCTTAATTTTGCATTAACAATTCTAAAAGGAAAAAAGTACTTCAAGGAAGAACTTTAAGAAATGTTTCTGAACACAACATCTTTCTCTTTAAAATTATTTAAACATCATTCAAAGAGAGTGGGATCTGGCAGAACGACCTGGTTTATCTTGTTTACATGTAGAAGAGTTATTGAGGAAGATAAGTGACCACTTTGAAGATCTGCTTCATTTCTGCTCCAGTTTGCTGAAAGCACGCTTGCTATAGGTTGCTATGTGTTTCCAATCAGAAGTTGTTAAGTACACAAAATAAGGCTGGATTTTATTTGCAGAAGCACATGTTCAAAGGTTAAAATTTATTGCTCCAAAAGCAGTATCTATAAACCAGGGCAATACCTTAGAGATTATTAACCTTCTAGTTATGCCAGTGGCTGTTTTAAGTAGTTCGATTTTTTTGTAAGAATTCCCAGCAATCTCTCCAGTTAAGTATTTCCAATGGGCTCTAATCCTTTAAACAGTTGCCCACCAAACCCCAAAGGAAGTGATTTTTCTCTAAGAAGCTTGTGCAGTGCTGTTAACTTGCTGTACTCTGTCCAAATAAAAATAAGAGAGACAGAAAATTGCAGACAAATCAGCTGAAATTATTTGGGTACATTTATTGTAGGTTATGAAATACTGGTGCCATCCTCAGGCTAATACTCACTTTCTTCCTGACTTTGGGTATATCAAATAACTCATCACTTTTATCACATCTGAAAACTCAGGACACTAAAGCAGAGTACTGTGAAGATTGATTGGTTGTTAAGGAAGTGCCTTGAAGAAGAAAAGCATACCTTAGGCTACATCACAGGAATATCTAAGCCCTTAATCCTAATTGTGATTAAAAGAACTATCAAGGAATATCCAATTTTCAGAGGAATTCACTAAAGTTTAAACCCTGTTTCCCAGCTAGAACTGTGATGGCACAAAAAAACCCAAGCAAACAGCACCTTCTACCAAATCTTCTTGCAATTAAGCAAAATATACAATTCAAAATGATATTTCTAAAAAAAAAAAATCTTCAATTCTTGCTTAGGGGTTATGCAATCATTAAGGGACATAGGAGAGAGCATCAAATATGTGTCACCTTCTACCCAAGGAGTTTCAAAAATACATTAATTGTGGATGTTACCATAAAAATTAAAAAGCAGATTTCTGCTTGAGCTCCCTTGTTTGGTTTGCTGGGGCGGTCCAGGGGCACTGAAATGACACATCCCTGAAAATGACTCACAGTCACATTTCAGATGGCACTGGATGTTAGTTGAACACAATATTGTGCAAAGCTTACCAGCTAAAGAAATAGGCACAGGTTTTATGATGAAAATGTTTGCCAGCTGCTTTCACACCCAAAGAGCACAAATTCTTTCAGTTCTCTAAAAAATAAAAAACTTGCTCATAAATGTCTGACAATAAATGGAGAGGATTAATTAAGATACACCCCTTGGTCATCCAAGCCTCAACAAACAGAGTCCCTCTGAGGCAGCAGAGACTCTACATGGACAGTAAGCCCAGAGTTAAACGTGTGGGGCAGAAATGCCAGGCTGCCAGCACCAGAAAGCTGCGGGTGGCAGGCAAACAGGGAAGGCAATGGATTCCTTTGTTAGCTCCTGCAGGAAAGCCAACACCAAATAATGCCTGCAGGATTCACAGGGAGCACCCAGCAGTCCCACCCAGCCACACCTGGGCAGGAGGGATCAGCTCAGTGCCCTGCACTGCTCGGGAAGGAACCAAATCAATGGCAATCGAGGAGTTGCTGCTCATTTTCATGGTTCTGCTGCTAAAGAATTGATTTACCCTGGGGTTCACACACAGGCTCTGTAATTCCTGCTGAATTCAAGCTGCTTGTGGAGCTGTAAGGAATGCTCTTATTTCCGTCAGTATTGATTTTGAAGCGGAAGTTAAATCATGTTGATTTCAGAACAGTAAGACCCTCCTTTAGCTTCAGACATTCCTTCCTGGCAAAACTGATGCAGTTTATCCATGAAATATATTAATAAAATACATTTTAACATTTAGAAATTAAAGATAAGCCATTAGCAGCAGTCAGAAAAACAGAAGTGGGGCAGACAGAAGGGTAAATGCAATCAGCTCTCTACCAGCCACTTTTCATCATTTTTTCAAAAGGATTTGTTAACCACCAAAACTTTAGAGCATGAAATTAAACCAAATACCACTGAGGAAGGCTTCACAGACAGCTGGCATCTTTATTTCTTCTGTTGCTCTCTTATGAAAAACAGATCCCCAGTAGGGATCAGAGACACAGGGCAGAACTGAAATTGTGCTATATCTCTTCCTCCTTTTCCCCAGAAGATTCAGTTCAGCAAGTGAGAACAGCTCAGTCAGCACTGCTCATTCAGCTCTCTGAGCTGTGCCACATCTGCCACGTGCACATGCTTGCATTTCAAGCCCTGAAAATGAGACCTAAGTAGGGCTCTGTATATTAAAAAAGCTCAATTTAAAAGGGCAAATAAAATCTTCAGAAGCTTTGTGTTTGTTGAACCTTCAATAAAAGCAAAAGCCACGTCTTTAGCTGTGTTTTAAGATTTTAAACCCAACTTCATCACTAGTTGGGTTTTTTCCCCAACAGATCTGCCCTCAGCTGACAAGAAACCATGTCCTGATTGACCTTTCCTCAAGATTCCTACTGCTGCCTAAGAATTTTAGGAGGAATGAATGTGCATGCAAACCCAGCTTGAATACGGGGTCAGTAACCCCTCCAAAAAACTGCATTAGAACAATCAGCAATACAGAGTTCCCTAACAAAGTCCTGAGCGTGAAATTCCAAGCATGCAGCTCTAAAAGCATGGGCTAGCAGCATTCCTGAGCCTGCAGTGTCACTGGAGTGGTCATCTGGAGGCAAGAAAACATCTATTCCTATCACCTGAGCCACAAAGGGACACGTTCAGCCCACCTGCTTTTTGATTCTCCAGACCAAGAGAGATTTCACATCATTTTCGTGCTTCAAAAACAGACAGATTATTGTCTTCTTATCTCCATATAAAAGGAAGAGTAATTTTATGAGTAAGAGTTCCTAATAAAAACTATCAGAGTTGTAAACACCTTTAATGTAAGTTATCGTTCTACAGGCAAGTTTTAAAGTAACAGTAGTCCTGAAATTGCAGTTTTAATAGCTGTCATTAAAACACTTAATTGCACGTTTGTGATTATGTTATTATTACTGGGGTGGAATTGCTCTCTAGAACAGCTCTTATACAATAGTGCACCATCTCCACTGCCTGTACAAACAAACCCTTTAGAGTTCCAGTGCTGAGCACCACACTTGTTATTATTGATAGTTTTTCATCAACCACTTGTTAGAAAATTAGAAAATTTTCTTCCCCAAAGATCTCAAAGTACGTTTGATTTAACACACATAAAACTTCACTTCAACAACCACTGAGACAACTCCCATGGCCACTGGTTTAGTAGATAAATTACACCTGGCATTTGAACAGGTGAAGAAAAAAAGCAACCTTGGAGTTCAGTTTTCCTGGCAATCCATCTCTCTGAATTCTGCCAAGGAGCACAGCACTGCTGCTGCTGGTGCCACACAGATCTATCCTGTTTCTGCAGAAAATGGTGCAAATGCAAGACTGCACATGGCAGAGCTTTCTGATATCCAGCCCGCTGCCTCAGAACTGTTTTCACTTCCCCACCACCCCAGAGAGGGCCCATGCTCCACCAGCACTTCCACAGGCAGCACACCAAACCCTCACTCCAGCCACTGCCAGCCCCACACAGTCCAAGGCAATGGCAGTTCACTTTTCCCCTTCTTTTTGGTACTCCCTGAAAGCCATGCCCACCAGAAACGTCCCTGAACTGCAGCCTAAGTTACTGCACTGAAGGGTCAGTGGTTTCTGTGGCTCTGAAGCTGCTGACATGCTGGGCCTGAGCATGGCCAAGAAACGATCCTTGGAAGGCAGGCTCAGATTAACAGTCAATTAGCTCTCAGAAAACAGAGAGCTACCCCAAAGTTTTGGTAGCCTCAAACTGCAAGACAACATGCAAAGGTACAGATCCTTTTTAGTATCTCCCCCCTGTTCTGTTACACAAAATAGGAGATATCAGACAGATCATTTGAACATTGCCATTTTAGCTATCTTATTCTCACTTTGGTGTTAAAAATCTGCAGTCCTCCTCAGCAATCTTATCCTGCTATGTAAATCTTTTTAAACAAAATGCCTTATTCAAAGCTTACTATTGTTAGCTGATATCAAATCAGTGTAGCAAATTGCCATCAGAGTATCTTGATCTAATTATGTTCTGGAAAGAATCGAAATAGAACTGAAGAAAATTCAGATAATGGAACAGGCAAAACAAGAAAGGGAAAGGAGAAGCATAAACAAAAGATAAAAGAAGAACAGAGAATAAAGGATAACGCTCTGAGATACAAAAATATGATTAAGTGATACTGAAATTGTGGGGGTATGTGCAGAGACATCCCAATAAAGCAAGAGGAACCCCAGGGATTTAAAATGTTCCCATCATCTACTGCAGAATATGAGATTACATCAGTCACAGGGATGTGAAAATGGTGTGCTTGGGGGAAGTCAAACAACGGGGCTGGGGCTGAGCTGAAATCTCTGAGCAGCCAATGTTCATGGATACCCCTGATGCAAACGGAGCCAATGGAGCCAAAACCTTCCCCTTCTGTGGATCTGCCTATGACTGACAGCCCTGCACAACACGCAGCAATGCAGGGGAATTTAACTGGGGGATAATGCTCACAAACAAGATAAATATACCAAGGATACAGGAAACAAATCTTCCTTAATTTGGATGGCATTCAGTACTAAAAATTCTGCTGGCTTTCAAAAATTGTGTTACAATTCCGTGTCTTTCAAGAGAAAGGGAATAAGAGCCTCTTTCAATTTATTTTTAATGCCTATTTTTTAAAGGTACACCAATTACAGAAGATCTTATTTTCATCATGCACTATCCCATGCAACTTGCTTCAACATTCTGAGGATCCCAATGATTAATGTAGAATTCTGTAAATATACCAAAATTAATTACAAAGATTTTGCTACACTTTTCAGTACAAATTCTTTCCCCAAAAAGCCCAGTCCTAAAAAGAAGAGGAATATCTTTCCTGTCTGTAAGTACACACTTAGAATCCTTTAGTGCTGGAATTAGAAGGGATGTGTGAATACGAGCAGTGTCAAAATACAAAGGATACTGAATGAAAACCCACACCTCTGTAAAGGGAAACAACTCATTGTAATTTGCACCTCTTTTGCAAGCATAGCCCTTACAAATAGCTCATTGCAAAGAAACCCATCCAAAATAAAAATACAGCGAATTCACTCCACAAATTGCAGCTACACAACGCAGAGAGGCAATTCTAAAGTCCTAGGGTGTGGTTTAGTTCTCCTGTTAACAACAAGCTGTTAGTAGCAGGATATAAAGTCACTTTTAGAATAATTCTTCTCAGAGGGACACGAACATTGACTCAGGGAGCACCCGTGTGTCACAGAGCAGCATCAGGGCACTTCTGATTCACAAACTCAACAACAACCCAGATGTCTCTCCCTGCTCATCTCCCTGGCCCAAGCTGCCAAGGAAAGCAGACTATAGCCAGCAGCCTCAGAGGAAGGAACCAGCCTCCTTTCAGGCAGATAAAGGTTGGCTTGAAACAGAAGCCAACAATATTCCTGGGCCTAATCAAAGACTTTTTTCACTACTTTTTACAGTCATTTTCTTTGTACTTCTGGCACCATCTTTGTTAGGAAGATTTATTGTCTGCTTTTTAAAATTTATCAGTTTGCAACGGCCACCAGATGAAGGGATCTCTTAAATCACTCTGTATGGGAAGAGTTTGAGTATGTATCTTACAGTCAGAGGTTTAAACTCAACTATTCTGGAAAACCTCTTTCAAACATCAACAATGTGAGGAACATTTTTTGAGACGTTTATACTCAAGACATGCTGTTTACAAGGTGCTCTATATTTTGAAGTTATTGAATTACAATTATTCAAATTGACTGTATCCATTAAAGACTAAAAAGGAGATTTTTTAATTATATGAGAAATTAAGAGAGTAACAGATTTATTTGTTGATTGATAATACCTGCCAAAGTAAAGGTTTCAGACAAGAAGAATGTTCAACATTGCTATTATAGTTACCACTCTAACTTCTTTTAAAAAGATAGATTTACTTAACTATTTAAGTTACAAATCTAAGCAACTGTTGCATCATCTTACAGGACTGGGATCACTGTTGAATATCAGGGCAGGATAATAGGATAGATAAAAGTTCTCTGAAAGAGAAAGCACCAGAACCAGCAGCAAGGTGGGGTTGGTCAGCCCTTCATTTGAATGTAAATGTAATTATGAGGCAGGCAGTTGGGCTGACGTCAGACAAGATCTTGGTAAACCATTACCACCAGCACCTGGTAACACAGTGGATAATAAAAGAGGATGAAGTAGAAGATACCAAGCAGAGTGGCATTATTAGAAAAACCAAACACAAATATTTTTGAGCAGTAAAAGAAGACACCGAGGACCAAGATGTTGTGACGCCGTGTTTACAGCCGGGACAGCCATGTACGTGAGCTCGCTCTTGGAGAAGGAAGGCAGCATGTACCCAGGACCCGGCAGGGCCAGCAACACCCTGCCCGTGCAGAACTTCGTGTCTGCTCCAGCCTACTCCGAGTACATGGGATACCACCCTGTGCCAGCCCTGGACAGCCACGGGCAGCCGGCCTGGGGCTCCCACTACGGCCCCCAGCGCGAGGACTGGAGCGCCTACGGCCCAGGCCCTTCCAGCGCCGGGCCCGCTGCCCACATCAATGGCTCGTCCCCTGGCCAGGGCTCCTACAGCTCTGCTGACTACAGCTCCCTGCACCCCGCTGCTGCTGCGGCCTTACCTCCTGTAGATACAATCAATGCCCAGCAAATGTCTCCCAACAGCCAAAGGCACAGCTCTTATGAGTGGATGAGGAAAACGGTGCAAACCAACACTGCTGGTGAGTGCAAATTCAACTTCCAACCTCAGAAAGCATCTTCTGCTATCACTGAGCTTAGAAATAATTAACTTTACTTGAAGCGCATAGGTTGGTGGGTCATTTATGACATTTATTTAACCTACTGCTGTTTAATGCAGTTTTAACTAAATTTGTGCTAGTTTCACTTTCTCCCATAAAGGCTTTCTGTGGTTGCTGTAGTGGAATGGCTGATGTGGTCACAGCTGGAGCTCAGCTCCAGGAATCCCCACTGGAACACTCCGTAAAGCATTTTTTGTGATAAACATAGAGGTGTTACGGAGCAATGCAGCAACATTTAACAGTTACAGACAGAAATACTACATAGTTATTTTGTGCTGCAGGGGAGATATCAATATAGAATCAGGTTGATCTTTTTAAAGCTTATGGATGTCTCAATAATTATAAAGAAAACCATGTGCTCTGATCTAACTGCAGTGATTATGCAATTTTCTGCAATTTTCCTGTGTCTCATATTTTTCTGCCCAGATTTATTAGGTGAGCACAAATATTCCTAGAGAAGCAATCTGACTCAAACAATCAGCACAGACTATTTTGTTTGCAGATCACATAATTCCTTGGTTAAGCTTCCTTTTAATTTAATTTCACATCATTTTTACTTTCCTTACATGTCAGAATTTTTCAGCTTCCACAATTACACAATTAAAAATCTCTTTTCTGGAAGTGGCACTCACTGGTGTGCCTGTTCTTGCCACAAGCTACCTGACAGATGAACCTTTCCATGTATATTCCCAAGGTAGAAACCGTGTGTAGCAAGGTTTGCTAAATCTGTGGCTCAGGTTAAAAGTAATAAGCGTGTGTTAGAGAGCAACAAAGAAATACTCAAAGCAGAGCAATTGCAATTGGAGCAATCTTAGAAAACACAGAAAATCGGCACTGCTGCTTCAGACAGAATCCTCCTTCAAATGGTTATTACTCAGGAGCAAAATTAGCCTGGTAATTGTTTCTTAATTATAAAGCAGGCACACATTGTTTTGCCCCTGTTACTAAATATAAAATGCCTGGTGAACATTAGGATATCACAATGCTCTCCTGCCACTTGGAGCCTCTACAAAGGCCTTCAAAGTCAGGCAGATTCAGTCTGCTTTCCCCCCTTCTGTATACTCATGTAAATTCCAGTAACTTCATTAACATCATTGGAGATTGCCAGGTGTAGAAGTGATGCAAGACTTGAGTGTAGATCAAATTCAGCTGAGACTACTGAATGTCAGTGAGGCAGCCCTGGCTGTGTCATGTTGGCACTGAATTTTCAATGTGTGGCATTGAAGAATATTCTTGAAGAATAACATTCTTAAAGTTTAACACACTTAAAAATCTACATCCTTGCTTTACATTTACTGAACAGTCTTGGAAGACCCTGAAAGGTTTCTCATGTGCTTGTCCAAAGTTATAAAATATATTTGCAATTCAGAGACACCGTTTTGGGCCTAAATTCATGTCTAGTCTCAAAAGTGCTCACACAGGATTTACACACATTCTGAAATACTTTATGAACCATTCGGGACAGGTGGAACAGAGCCCATCAATAGCTGCATGTCCTTAGGCTGTGCATTCCTAGAACCCAATCCTTTGAAGTGTTAAAAACAGCCAAGGACTTCACAGAAGTGAGCTCAAGGCATCAACCCACCTTAAAAAAAGAGATCGTGAGAGTGAAGCACAAATGTGGTAATTGTGCAAAACAAGAAAAGTTACCAAAGAGATTTAGCTTTTCATTGGTGTCAAAAAAAAAAAAAAAAAAAAACCCAAACCAAACCTGAAAATTTTAATCCTGACACAGAAAAAATTGTGAAAAATGGAAGAGAATTCAATTAAATTACAAGGCTAAAATTATGCAGCTAACTGCTCTATACCACCTTATCAGTGTTTTCTCTAGAAGAAAACTGACTTGATGCCATTATAACCCCTCTTTGAAACACACTTGCTGTTTTTCCTTATTGCCATAATATTATTTGGGTTATCAAAGTAGCTACTGGTTCCTCTCCTTCAATGTTATCACTGCTTAATAAAGTTCATTGCTTTAAAATCCCAGAATGACAGCCCTAAACTCCACGAATACATTTCCATGCAGAAACATGTGTATGTGCTTAAATCCACCAGTGTGTACACACGTCAGTGTACGTGAGCAGAACACAGTAACAGAAACAACAACACATCTAATTAGATGAGAGAGCCTCTTGAAATACTGTCCTAAAGACAGTGGGAATTGTTTTGAGTGAGGAGATGTCAGTGGGAATTGCTTCCTCTCTGTTTAGACTCTATTAAATACACTACTTTCTGATTCAATATTCTTATTTAGCATTTGATGCAAAACAAAATTCAATTGCAGGTAAAGTGAAATGAAAATTTACCTGATCAAGTCAATCTTCAGGATGAAACAAGATTCAAAGACAGAAGTACTCTGTCCTTTCAACAGATAAAATGTGATTTGAAATTAAATATCCTCTGACTAAAGGACCATAACTGTATATTCGGAACCAACCCTTGTTTTACTTCAAACACACAAACATGGCAAATATACAAAGCAATAAGAATTTGTTTAAAAAACCAGAAGTGGAAGAGACCTTCCCAGTCAGGCCCACCAAGTGAGGAAAAGAACATCTGAAGAATTCCTGACAGTCTGATCCTGGTTTTACTGAAAATCTATGATAAAATCTGCCATCCACTTCAGATATGCTGGAGCAGAACTTCCAATTATTTTCTCAACTCTGTGTAATCAACAGGGTAAGATGCATATTTTCTGAGAGCAAGAGAACCTTCAAGGTGTAAAACTTACTGAAAAGGTATCTAAAGGGCCTACAAAAAGGGTTTAAAACTTCATCTGAAACTTCATCTGGGAGTGACCCCTCTCAGAAAGAGAAGGGACTTTAACAGGACTAAACAAAAGATCAACATGATTTTCATATGTTACAAGCTCAGCCAAAGGATTTTTTTTTCAAACTCTATCCAACACACTTTATGTCTTTATTTAAACAAGCTGTGATGTACAATTAATTCAGATTACAGAACAGCAGAAACATGGCCAGAAAGCAAAACAGAATAGCAGGAAAAAAGGCCAGGCCCCTGCTTTAATGCTAATTTATTTTTCTTTGTAAATTAGTTGTGACATCTATTTTCCACTGGCCTACATTGTCTGAGGTTTTGAGGCCTATCTGTCATATTGAGGCAACAGACCCTTTTAACACTTCACTTTGCTTTGATATGCAGTCTTGTCTCTTCCTTCTCCCTCTTTTCTTCAGGAGTTATATTGCCGGAAAGGGTGATGATTTTCACAGCAAATAAAGAGGCCTTCTCCCAGCTTTATTGTCTTCAGAAGAAATACTCTGTGAATTTTATGACCAAGGGGAATGGGGAAAACGACTCCTTTTCTCCACCCCCTCAAATCATGGTTATATTTGCTGATTATAGTGAGGCCGGAATAACCTTGTTGAATTTTAACTTGTTTTCAAAGATTCCCTCTAAGCCCTCAGTTTACAAGGAACCTGAATATCTATACTATTGTTAGCATTAGAACTATCACCGAGGGCAAATATTTCAAAGCCAACAATTTGTACCATGCAAAAAGTAAACTTAGTTGAATGATTTAGTCCTGCAAATTTAGGTAGGAAAATCTTCTCTGCTGGAAAGTTGAAGTGGCATAGAATTTGGGAAAATATCCCTAATTATGCTTATTTCAGCTATGTCTACCTTCAGATAAAAATATCCCAGTCTGTCCTCGGTGTCGGTCCAAAATTAAAGAGAACTGAGGCAAAAATATTCCTTCATCTATTTCTGTCCCTTTTTCTTCTGCTAAGATGAAAGCGTCTGACATTTGTTTAGGGCTTGTAAATTCCAAACCAATTGGCTTGTGTTTCTGAATGTGAAAGGGGTTCTTGATAAGATCTCCTTGTCGCTCCTTTGTGTGGCGTGTGCTTCATCTTAACACCTCAATGGATTTTAGGGAACCACTTTAAAGGAGTCTTTGTCCCACAGTTTGTCCCAGAAAACTCACATCAAAAAAAACTGGGAAGATCAGAAGAGAAAAGGAAAACTATCTAGTTGGCTGTTGAAAGTGCAAAGGAGAACAAATAAATTGAAAACTGATCTCTCTGGATTATTATTACCTGAAGAATTGCTTAAAAATTATATTAAATGAGAGATACATTCTATACATTTAGTAATGCTTCTCTTAACAGTATTTATCCAGTATATCTAAGAATATTTCTTTTATACATTAGAGAGAGGATGATCCTGAAATCCTTTTACAAGATTTTATTGCCTCATCTTACAAATTGTCAAGTACCTCCAACTCTAAAGGGAAGTCCAGCACAGAGTACCCTCAGGAATATCCTACAGGCCCTCAGCACCTTGCAAGACTGGACCTTTTTGAGAAAGTACATTAAATTATTATTGAACTTTTAAGTTCATCCTATGGCCACAAAAGAAATGAAAAGTATTTCCAGTAGAACATACCTTTGTGCTAAAGAAGCAATCTTTAGAAACTCAGATAAAGAATTAGGCCACGGTGCAACTGCACAAATTGTGACTGAAGCTCAGTCTTGAAACCCTGGGTATTTATGCTCTCATAGACACAGAAGTCACTTCACTGAGCACTGAAATGAAACCCCTTTGAGATTAATATAGCCAGCACCAATTATGTACTGCTGTGAATTATTTAAGATGCTTCAGGGTGTTTATCACTTAAGAGCTTCCCATTTATATATATGTTTACAGAGAGAGGAAATAAAGAGGGAAGACAGTTATGGTAACCAATAGTCTGTTACTTCACCCTGCACCTCTATTCCTCCTCTGTACCACAGCAAACAATCTCATACAAGTATTCTGTAATTTAATTAATGTCTGGGAAATGCCCGAGATGTTTGCAAGCTGCTATGGAAAATCCAACTCAATGCATGAATAATCTTTCTTTTCTAACCAGGTAAAACAAGAACAAAAGAAAAGTACCGGGTTGTTTACACAGATCACCAGAGACTGGAATTAGAGAAGGAATTTCACTGCAACAGATACATCACAATCAGGAGGAAGTCAGAACTCGCGGCAAACCTGGGCCTCTCCGAAAGACAGGTACAGAGAGCACCCCTCAGGTGTGCCCGCAGTGGCCAGGCACTGCCAGGGGACACAGAGGCTGCCACCTCCTGCCTCTCTGCGTTTGACACACACAGAATCCACTGCACACCCCACAGCTATCAACAGGCTAATTTGACAGAACCCTCCAGTTACATGGAACTCGACATTAGGAGTTAACTCATACTTTTAGAAGTAGTTATTCCTATTTTATAGCTTGATAGCCAGCTGGAATTTAAACACTTCAGCTTAACAGGGTCTTAGCTATGGTCCAAAGAGTTACAACATTCATAATTTTATTTCTTCTTGAAATCACAAGTAATGGCCAGCAAAAAATCCAAAGCATTTGATATACTTCAGCTGGAAGACAGGAAAATTAGAACTCAATCCAATGAGATATCTATGGGGGCTTTTGTCACAAATATATTGCCACAATTTCCACAGGCCACATTCTTCCTCTGTCAGATTTCAGCATATTCAGGGGGGTTTTACAGCCTTGGATTTTCAAGTCAGGATCTCTTTTTGCCACTCATATGTGTAGCCAACACTATCCATCCAGGGAATGCTCAAGTGCATATTTGGATCGTTGCTCCCTTGGAGAGCAGCTCTGCCTTCACTCATGTCTAGTACATATTTAATCTCTGTCCTGGATAAAGCCAGGCTCCTGAGCAGGGCTCAGATATGTTAGCCATGTTCATAGAGACACTAGAGGAACTCGGGATGAGAATTCCCTAAAATCCCTGTGTTGGAGAGCATTTCTCCCAAGCACAGCTTTGCAATGTGTGGAAATAATAACTGCTGGATCCAAGCCTCCAGAATTTCAATGGTTCTGCTACAGCTAGAGGAGAAGGGCAGATTTGGTGACACTGAATTAGTCATCTCATTTAAAAAACAGAATATTGCCCTGAGGTAAGTATTAACTAGAGGTCTTTTTAGAATTTTTACAAGCTTTTGTTCTTTCTAAATATACACATTCAGGTCTCTTAAAATGTTTCCCTTTCAGTGGCCTCCTCTGATTCTGCACTCAATCTGTGGAAGAGCATGGAACAGAGAGGGACCAGTGGAGGCTGGAAGTGTAGGAATGCAGAGACAATCAATAGGATCAAGCACTGGGATTTTATAAACATATTTTAGTGCAGTCATATTAAGTCCCAGACCTATATAGTACTGAGTGCACTGCACAGACTGTGAGTGCTCCCAGGCAGGAGCAACAAAAACCAAGTTTATCATGGATGGACTAAGTTTGTCACACAGTAGGATAGAGCTGCACTGGAAAATTTCCAGAGAACTGCAATTCTGACATTTGCAACCTCCACCTAAATGTTCTGCAAGCTGGCTAATTTAGAACACAGACATGACTGCAGTCACCAGTGATCCTGCAGAAAATCAGCAGTTTTCTTTCTTTCACAGAGCTGCTGCTCCTAATGCCACCCCATTTTTACCTGGAAAAGTTCCTTCAAGTATAATACAGACAAAATACATAACTGATCAGCATTTCCACAGGACAGACAAAGCTAATGCTTCTTCATGCCAATAACAGCAAGATAGTAAAAATAAATGTAAAACACTGAGATTTTTAATACAAAGCAAGGGTACAACTTTCTATATTGTATTGTATTCAACACATCTTAAAGGGTGTAACAAATACTGTGAATTAAGAACACAGTTAGCAAGCAGGAAAATGCAAACAAAGTTCCTCCTCATTCACACTTTCACGTAAGGAAAGAAAATAGAGATACTTAAAGTAGATTTTAAACAGATAAGTCTTTCACCTGCACAATGAAGCCCGGGAAATTGACTGTCTTAATGCTGATATATCTATTCACACATATAACAGTACGTATGTATCTGTAAAATACATGTTTAAATATATATTCCAGTAATAAAAACAGTCAAAACTTTTAAATACATAAGAATATAAGCACACACAAAAATCACTCACAACATAAATTAAGAAAAAGAACCCTCACTACTAGGCTTTGAATTAATCTGTAGCATAGATAATAAAGAAATCTTCACAATTAATCCCATAATTGCATCTTTCTAAATTATGACAATGGCAAAGCTGAAATGATGAACTCTGTGGCCTGAGTCTCAATGAGTTCATTGACTTCTGTGTTCCTAAATATAACACAGTGTGTTCACTTTACACCAAAGGCCCAAGAAAAAAAAGGAAATCAAGAAAAATCAATTTTCCATTGGTTATTATGCCAAAAGTTAATACAGAATAATGCAAAAACTTTTCACTGCACAAATTCAGTATTTTGTTTGTGGAGGGTTTCTTGGTTTGGTTTTAGCTTTGGGGCTTTTTTTGCTCATGGCTTTTTGTTTGTTTGTTTTGGGTTTTTTAAATAGTGTTTTTGAACCTACCTACATTTCCATTGCTATGATTACTGTAAAAGGTTGAGCAGCACTTTGAATTAATCAGGTATCATTTATAATGCTCCAGGTGAAAATCTGGTTCCAGAATCGCCGAGCAAAAGAGAGAAAAATGATCAAGAAGAAAATCTCGCAGTTTGACGGCAGCGGGGGCTCAGCTCAGAGCGACTCTGGCTCACTCAGTCCAAACGAACTGTCAAATTCTCTGTTCCCACCACCACATGCAATCAATGGATTACAGCCTAATGACATTCATCAAGTCATAGTTTCAGAATGAACAGAGGGGAAAAACCAAAACAGGAAAAAAGAAAAAGCAAGAATGGATTTCACCACCACTGCCACCCCCCACCTTGGAAACTCAGCTTCCCAAGGGACCATTTTCATTTATCTGCCTTCAGAGTGCTGATTTCTAAGCAGGAAATCTGAGCCTATAACCAAACTATTTTAATTATTGCAAAAATCTCAGGGACTTTGTGCTGCTAAGATTCATCTCTCAGTATCTTTGCTAGCAGGTAATTTGCTTCAGACACTGCCACAAAGAATGATACAGCTGGAGATTCAGTACAGGTAGTTCTAGTCTGATCATCCATATACACAGCAAACTAAGAGAACTGATTATAAAATAGAGTTCTATTGCAGAAAATATAACCATCTGGGTGTGTTGGGTTTGTTCCATTTATATGATTAGAGGAAACCGTAGATGTTAATAAATATTTACACTTAAAAGGACTGAAAAGGATGCTACTTTTTGAAAATGGCAAAACCATTTAAAACACTTTTAAATGCTCAAGGAACATGATAATGTTGCTATACCAACATATTGCATTTAATTAAATAACACATATCTCTGTCCTATGGGATTGTATTCAAGCAATAGTTACAGATACAGAATATACCAAACTTGCCAAAATTTCTTCCACTGTAAGAAATACAGCAATTTCTCATATACATTAGGAAATGCTAGAAAATTTGGAAGACAAGTATTACCTCAGTCTTCTAGGACTGCACATACTATTACTCAAAAATCCGAGCACAAATGGAATGGAAACAGAACTGTTACTACAAGCAAACCACCAAAGAGCAAATAAAGAATTTGCTTGATGTCTGTAGACATTGGAAGTGAAACAGGAACAGTCTCAGGCCACTGATTTTATCCCTGACACTTATCTGGGGCTGAAGGCAACAACTCTCCCAAAGTAGCTGAGGGGGTATTTTGAAGCTGTCACCTGCAGCTGAGCAATCACAAAAGAAATGTTCACTTCATGGGCACTCCTGAAAGAGCACAAATTAAGGACATGATCACAGTGGGGTTTGCTTTAATTACTCCTCCATGTTGGCAGGTGAGAAGGTAGCAATGGTATCTCAGAGACAAGTGATGAGTCTGGCAAAAGCAGAAAGAAAACCCAAAGCACTAAAAAAATCCCCAAGCCCTTCAGTAGTACTGTTCTTTGGAATTTCTTTAAATGACCTTTTTCCTAGTATAGAAGTAAACAGCTCTATTGGGAAGATTTAATATTCCTGAAAATGTCAAGGGGAGCAAAGGTAATAAAAATGGAAAAAAGCAGAACACAAACAGAAAACAGCTTTATGAAAATCATGCATCACTTATTTCAGCAACATCAAACTCTTGCTCTCAGAAACAGCAGAATAAATTCTGCTTTTTTTTTGTGTCAGTGAGCATCGATAATGCGCTGGACTCCACGGACAGGACTTGTCAAAGCTCTCAGCATCTGGATTCAAAACACTAGATAACAGATTTGAGGATATGCCACACGATTCCCCGTTTATTTTAAAATAACTCTGTGAGAGTAACTCCATGAAAGCAGTTCTGTTGGAAGTTACAGCAGTAACACTCATCAGAACTAAATTTTGAATTTTATCTGTCTAGACATAAATGTCTCAAACTAAACTAGGAAGAAATCCTGTATCTTACTCACTGTAAACATTTTGTGGGTGGTTCCCTAATATATTTTCTAGTCATCTCCTATCATATGGCTCAAAGAAATGGGTGTATTCTAATGCAAACAAACTGTAAACAGAAAATCTTGTGTACATAAATAGTTATAAAACTCAGCCCGATGAGAAATTGAGACATCTGCATGGCTTTAACTCAGGATCTCCTAAATTTGCTCAATGATCTTCCAGTGGGATCACAGGGACAGCAAGAGCACATTGTGGGACGTGCACACACAGAGCTGGTTCTGTTCACATTCACAGAAATGCACATGACACACACAAGCCTTTTTTCATCTGTTCTTCAGTCAAATAAATTCTTTTTTTTTTTTTTTCCTTGGGAGAGGAAGTTTCTCCAGTTTCATCAAGTCCTCTACCTGGGTTGCCCTTCTATACATGAAGGATGTAGAGGATAAAATAATCTCTCAGGAAACCCAGACTTTAGATATACAAGAAAAAAGGGAAGTGAACCTTTACCTCAAATCAGGGGCCATTTCTATGGAAACCAGGAGAGGGCTTTTGTGAGGCTTAGCAGTGGCACAGAAATGGAGAGAGAGAAAACTTCTAGTTCTGATTTTTTTTTTCTCTGATCAGTTTTCATATCAACAAGGAGGAATGGCAAGTACAGCTATAACACACAACACACCATTCATTATATTTGTGTATTAGAAATGCATTGCTTCAGATTTCCCTCCTCATTTATGACAAAATTGAAATGAAACACAGTTATTTACCAGCTTCACATTCAACATATTCAAATCATCATCTTGCAGACTTTTAACCAAGCTGCAGGCAGTCAGGAAACACCATCCTCCCCTGACAAACAGCTCAGAGGAGCCACTGAAGCCACTGACTGCACCCAGAAGAACCACAGTTGCTAAAGGAACCACTCTAAATGAGCCCACTTTAGAAGATTTTGATTTTAGAATGGGATACAAAGTACCTCCTCTGGCATGTTTAATATCAGTTTTGTCAATAAAAACTGTTTCTCTTTTTCATAATCTTAATCCCGGATTTTATCCATCAGATGTGTTTTAAGTGTATCCCAAGCATATGTTAATAAATATTTAGGGGAGAATCTCTTTCATCTACTAGAAAATTATCTCTAAGCCTACAGAGTAGATCAGATTATCTTCTCTGACTACAGTTAAGTCAAGTAAGAAGTCATTCCCCTTCTCTGTTGCTGTGCATACCTACCCCCAATATGGATCATAGTGCCCCTTTCAACCTAAGGGCAGTGGCACAGCTGCTTCTCGAAATAATCTAAGGAAAAAATTACTAAACTCTTTTAGACTAATCAGGATATTTTTTAGTAAACTCCATCAGAGAGTGATTAACTGCAGTCAGCATATCAGCTTGGGAGGCTGAGAAGCCAGTGTCTTGGCTTAGGGCAAATTTTGGAGGAAACTTTTGAATTGGGGTATTTTAGAAAGCAAATATAAGTTCTTTTAATTGGTTTTGGAAAAGATTTCTTTGGAGAAAAGCAGGAAAACCCCTGTTTATTTAATACATATAATATTTACTAGCATAAAAAATGAACAATACAAAACAACCAAAGTTTGTCATGTTTTGAAGACATGACAAATGTAGAAAGTATTTTTTGTGAGGTGTAGCTCAGCTCACTCTGTTTGTTATCAGTCCCTCTGGTGCTGGAATGAAGCATCTCGGGCCTGGTGAGCTACAGGTGTGAGCTTTTGGTGTTTTTCTGGGGTTTTAGTCTAGAGCAGCTTTGAACAGTTCTAAGAAAAAATAAAAACCATAGTTTGGGGAATTTCTCTGCCTTAGCTAGCAAAAAAAACTAACTAAAAAGCAAAGGAGGGCTCTCTCCTGCTGTCCACTGCAGCCAGCACAGTCTAGGAGAAGCATGCTGGGGAGCAAGTGCAGCTTCTGATAACAAACTCCACGGTTCTTCTTCTTCCCTTTTCTCTCAGAACAAGTCTTAAAGGTGCAGAACTTGATATCAGCATAAACAGAACAGACAACTGGGGATACCAGCATCACAAAGTCACCTCAGGACAGCCAGAGAGAGGGAAAATGGCAAGCAGCTCAAAGAAAATCCTTACCCTGCTTCTTGCAGGCCTTAGACACTTTATCAGACTGCAGCTATGCCATGAGCCAGAAAACATCATCCCAAACCAAAATATAAATTGAGCACTTCATGCTGGCACACTTCAAAGGGCCATTAAGGACCCCAGGTCAGCCTGGCAGGAGCCCATCCCTGGTCATGCTCTGCCAGGATGGGAACACGAGATCAGGATGGAGGCACCACAAAGTCCTTGCATTCCAGCATTTTCTGGGCAGCTGTGTTTGACTCTTCAGCAGTGCTTTTGTGAAGGAGAAACTTCAGCAGATGTGATCAATCCCTGTATTTAAATTTGTATTTACATGGATGAAACACTAAAGGCTGTAAATAACATTTTTCAATATTTATCTTTCTTCCTTTGAAGACTGCTCCAGGGACTTTAGTTATACTCTCCCTTAGCACTGTAAAGCAATTAAAATAATAATAAATCAAATGCCATTCTTTGCACCCAGTGGGTCTCTTCCCCAGGGTCTCCAAATTTCCTGGTTTTCAGTGAATGTGAACAGAAAACCATCAGTGTTTGAATTCAGCTGATTGACTGGTGGTTCCAGTTTGCAAGGCAGTGAGCCCCTTTAACACCATGCTGATATCAAAAGAAAACCCTGCATCACACAACTGTCTAATTCCAGCAGCCAGCAAATCCCTTCAGACATTTATCTGAATCATCTCAATTCTTATGAGAATCCTGAGAGGTGCCAAAGCTTTGGCAGAACTGCCCTCCTCAGTCCCACTGTCAGAAATACTTCATCAAGAAGTATCTGGCACAAACTGCTCCTGCTGACACTCAGTGTAGCACCACAGTAAATTTGCTTTAGTAATTAACTCCTAAATATTGATCAGTGGGAGAAAATAAAAGAAAAATACAGATGTGCCCTTAGTTACAGATAGCTTAGACTAGAAATGGGAAAGTACCTCATTATAAGATATTTACAATATCAGTTTACAAAATCACTATAATTTAAACATCTAATTGGCTGTTTGTAGTAGTCATCCTGCTGAAAAAAATCCTGCATCAGAAACTTGACAACCTCTTGAAACTTAGATAATTTTTGAAAATTGATCTACATCAGGCATTTTCAGTATAGGCAGCACAGAGCTGCAGACCTCTGCACAAAGCCAAAACCCTTCCAGACGTTAGAAAATCAGTTTCATGGAACCTCACACCCAACTCTTGACTTGCCTTCCTTCAACAAATGAGCATATCCACATCTGCCTGATGAGTTCCACATTTCTACTTCTGAACAAAATAATGGGAGCTTGCAGTGAGATGCAAATCACCTTAGAAAAAGGGTTTGCATTAGCTGGTCAAGAAGCAAGAGGGTTTGTCCACCAGCCTTATAATACATTCTCCAAACTCCAAGAGTATATTCCCATTATCCAACAACCTCTTCCTGTCTGAAATGAGGGAATTCTGAGAGCCAACCTGACATCACTTGTTGTATATTCCTCCTCCTGAAGAATGCCTGTGTGGAACAAACAGGGGAAAAGGGCATTGCAAGAAGACTCAATCTCTCAGGCCCACATTAACATGCTCTTTCCATGTTCTCCCAACAGTGCCTTTATTTAATACTGTGCTTTGGTTTAACTCCTGGATTTCTGCTCTTTGTGTTTCATGCTTCATATAAAACACTTCTGATTCTAAGAAAGGAAGTGATTTATGTGGATAAACATTGCCAGAGACCATCATCCTTCCACAAATCTTTCAGTTTTTATGGCATAATAGTTTCATCAAATAAATAGCATCCTAAAGAAGTACTGAAAATGAAGCTTCTCTTTCTTCCTTTGACACCATAAAGTTTGATAAGTCATGCTGAAAAAATTCCCTGTGGTAATGACTTGTCAAACCCAATACTCAACAGGCATTCTTTAAATACAGACATGGGACACAAAAGGTATTTTTTTCTAAAATAGTCTATTTTCACCCAGATGGTCATTGCTCCTAAGTGAGAGAACACATACACATTAAAAAAAAATCTAGTGCAACTTCAGCTGATCTTTGACTTCAATCTATTATTTAAAAGCACAAGCTGTTAAATATGACCTGCTATAGCACAATACCTTTTCCAATTAAAAACACTTCTTTTCTTGGTTTGTTAACACCTCAGACCCTTGCTATAAAGAGGTGACACAGTAAGCTATGCTTCATTTTACACTCAATTCAGCAAATTATTGTACCACCTGCTTTGGAGCTTAATGCCACATCACACGTGTCCTTCTGGCACAAGGTCATTTAAATGTAACATTGGCTTGTTTACTAAATCAAAACCCAGGTTGCATTAAACAGAGGTTTTTCAGTTAAACACGAGACTGTGCTGAATGTGTTCCTGTTTGCCACACCTTGCCCTAACATCTGAGTGTCACTGTCACATTGAATGTGACACTGTACAACCCTGCAGACAGGTCCATGGCATTTATTTCACTTTCCAGCGCGCATTCTGCTTGTCCCTTGCTCTTTTCATCCTTGAGAAGTTTTCAAGACATTTTTATTGGAAAAACACTGAACACATGCAAGCCCTGCAGTGTCCAAGGCCAGGCTGGACGGGGCTTGGAGCACCTTGGAGAGTGGAAGGTGTCCCTGCCCGTGGCTTTCAGTCCCCTCTCAATCCAGACCATTCTGTGCTTGCATGGCCTTTCCCACAGACAGGTCACCAAAGCAGCCATCAACCAGGACAACCACAACTGAATATTAAAGCCCACAGTGTAAATGCACAGCATCAGAACTATCATTTCCTCCAGTGCTCTCAGTTACAACACTCACTTTTTTGGTTTTCACACCAGTTAAAGCAAACATCCAGAATTTAAATGAGAGTAAAATAAAGACCACTAGGTTATTAATACCCCTATACATAACTTTGAGTTGTTTCAACACTTTCTTTCCATTGCTTATGAATCTACATAAAGATGAAGAGCAGTAGGAAAAATATCAGATCCTTAAGTATAGAGTAACTTTCTCTTTTTTTATCATGTTTCTAAACAGGCTGTATTTTCAGTATTTGGTCAATTACCTTCTCTACAATTTACTGCAACCTTCACTAAATAAGAAAAAAGTATTTTGACAAAAATAGGAGAACAAAATTTCATTTTATAACAATTTGCCCCTTAATTTTATTTCTCTAGCTTAAGAGTGTGATTTACCTGCAGCTCCACATAAGATGGATAATGTGCTGAAGTAAGAGCACGCAGCACTGATAAAACTGTAGCTCATAAAATATTACTTTCAGAGACGACAAAAGTTTTCACGGTCAAGTCATCTGCATTTTGCTGCAGTCTAAAAACTCCTGAAAAACAAGAAAGGTGATTTATGAGGGAAGTATTTTCCTGGAAACAACAGACAGGGATGGAGACACGTTTTTACCTCATGCAGGAGGAGGTGAGCTCATTCCTTAGAGTACCTGAAGGTCAGGAATTCTGAACTGTACACATACCAGAGCCAACATTTTATAGGAGCTATGCTAACACTAGGAAGGACCACCACTCCCCTCATCATTTTGTTTTTCATTTTTCTATTGCAATTACAAACACCAATAGTTTTTGGATTATTTTCCATTTGCAGTAGGTAAGTAATTAAGTGCTTATTACCTCAATAATAGCTGACACCTGATGGGGGCATTCCCCTGAAGTATTCTTAGAAAATTTTTTTACCCCAGTTTTGCTGTCCCTATGTGGATTTTCTTCCGTCTCACCACTCCATTACACTGCACATAACTCACTTTCCAAACCCACCAACAAACCCCAAAACTCCGGGGAAACTCCACAACCCCCGCCCTCCCTCATCTTCACCTCAGGCGCCCGGCGGAGCAACACAGCGGGCAAAAACAGGAGGGGAAGGGCGGAAAGCGCTACGCGGCTGTTTTTATTAAAACCGTCACCGAAACACACTTGGAAAAGAGGTTAAAATAAAGGAGGATCAGCACCTGCCTCCGCCTTCCCTCAGGAGCAGCCCCTCGCACACCTGAGGGGCGGGAAGGGGCGCGCGCGCACCCGAGGGAGGCGCGCGCAGGAGTTGTAAGTGCGGTTACAAGAGTACGGATATTCAGGCCCCTTGTCCGCTGAAGGCTCAGGGGTGATTTTTTTTTTTTTTTTTTAAGCAAATTAAAATCTAGTGAGGTTTTTTCCCGGCTTGCCTGTAACCAGAAAATTAATGCTCCGCCCGGCAGCCGCTCGCGACCTTCGCGCACCCGAGGCGGGGGCGGCGGTACGGGAAGGGAGGTGGGTGCAGTTATAAATTCTACTAACGGTAGCAGAGATATTCCGCTTCCTCGTGCACGGAGGGCTTAGAGCGAGTTTCTGAAAACAAGAGTTCAACAAGGTTATTCCGCCTTCGCTGCAACCACCAACGCTAACTCCTCTCAGCAGCTCCCCGTGCCGGCTCGTTAGAGCGGCGAGGGGCGGGCGCGCGCGCACCTGAGCGGCCGCCTCCGGCCAGCAACAGCGGCCACAGGCGGCCCCGCCCCCGTCGCGCGCTGCGCAGGCGCGGCGGGAGGGCCGGCGATGAGCGTCCTGCTGCCCAATATGGCGGACTTCGACACGATCTACGAGCTGGAGGAGGAGGACGAGGAGGAGCAGGATGAGCCCGAGCCCGTGGTGCGGAGCCAGGAGCTGCCCCGGCCCCGCGACGCGCCCGATCCCGTAGCGGTACGGGGCGCCGGGCACATCACCGTGTAAGGAAGGAGCGGGGGCAGCGTGAGGGGCCGGTGTGGCGGGGCGGTGGAGCCGGGCGGGAGCGCCGGGAGGGGTGAGGGCAGCGGGAGCACCGTGCCCCGGCCCTGTCGGCCCCGGGCTCCCGCCCCGCGGGGCCGAGAGCCGCAGCCCTGCGCCCCTCTCCCCTCTCCGTGAGGGGAGCTGTGCTGTGAACGTGGTATTTTCCGGTAGCTCGAGGAAACCCCCAGCCGTGAATGAACAGCCGGAGTTGGCTGTCGGGTGCAGAGGCTGCAGCGCAGCCCTGGCAGCCCTCCCTGGTTGCTTCTTTTTATCCAAACAATTTGTTAGATAAAAAGCAAAGTCCACGCGATGCGAGGACGAACAGCCTGTTCAAACCATCTCGCTGTGACCCTTGTGTGCCACAGCTGAGCCACGCTGCACTGCAGAGGAGGCTCCTGCCCGTGCTGTACTTTATCTGCCCCGAACTTAGTTGGGAGTTTGGTTTAGATTGAGTGTTTTTATCACTGGAACACAGCGTGAGCCAGAATGTTTGCTGCTCATTTAAACAGTTGAACAGAAGACGAGCAAGCTGTGTTTCCTTATATGTAATGTTTACTCATAGGGATTTTCTTAGTATTCCTGCTCCAGCAAGCTGAAGAATTAATAGAAGCAAGTGCATCCTTAACAAGTTGTTGGTTGTCATGTTAATTTTCGTGGCAGGGAGGGAGGTATTGAAATTTATGAATTGCAGAGACCCACCAAGCTTGTGTTGCTTTGGCTGTCTTTGGATTGCCTAAAATTCCCATTTCTCTCTGTAAATAGGTGCAGTGTGATCTAAGCCCCTGCAGCAAAAGCACTGGGTGGGGAAGGCTCTGCCATGCCATGGGAAGTGGGGCTGGATCTGTGTGCTCCTGGAAGCCTGGATCAGGGTTGCATTGAGCTGGTGCCAGTGGGCAGTTGCTGTGCTGCACCACAGTGCATTTGCTCGTGCAGATGGAATTTCTTTGTGTCCTCACCCCAAATAGCTGCTGGCTTGACTGAAGGAGAGGTGCAACACAAGCAAGATGCTCAGAATACCAAGTACCCATCTTAGGAGTTACCTGATTTGAAGTGCTGAACTGGAAAAAAAACATTACACACTTATCTGCTTTGCTTTCTGTGACGCTTTTTGTGTGTTAGTGATGTTACTTACAGTTCCTTCTTGGCTCCAGCATCTTTTTGGGATGAGCAGGAGCATCTCCAAGAACTAGGGATGTCTACATCCAAAAAAGGGCTCTTGTCAGTGAAGTGGAAATCCTTAGCTAGCTACATGCCCTTGTAACCACCTGAGCTGAATCCCCATCCAACTTACTTTCCCTTTCTCCCACCCCTCTCAGCTTTCTTCCTGTAACAGGACCTACCTGCATGGTAGGAGGCAGCTTTAATCAGCTCATACTGTATTTTTAAATCTCCTTATACTGATGCAAACAGTTCTTGGGTGTTACCAATAAAATGCAAGTAAACCCTGGACACTGGAGTACACAATCCTAACCTCCTGTTAAATGGGAACTGGTTTGCTTCCCAAAGAGTCTGTGTGTTGGAGCTCTGTCACTTTTTGATCACACAGATGCTGCTGCTTTTGAAATCAGTTGGCTGCAGAAGCAGCCTGCTCCAGTTACTGAAGGGAGAGACGTCATCCAGGAAAACCTGGGTTTGCTGAGCCTGTCTGGAGTACTGCTAGTGAAAATGTCTGTCCTGACAAGACATTATTAAAAAAGCAAACCAGTTATCTTTATAAAGCCATTGTTTTCCTTGGATTTTTGTTTTAGATGTCTCCTGTTCCTCAGCTGACACTGGCTTTCTTGAATACTTCTGGTGTATAGGGAAGGGATAATTCTCAAATTCCAGGGTCATCTGCTTCAGCTTTTCATGTCCAGTTCTCTTATGAAACTCCCAAGCTGGTAGATTCAGACACTCTGAGTTTCTTGCAAGAGACTTTTTATTCTTATGACCTTGTCAGTGAGCTGCTTGCTCTAACAGAGTAGCTATTCTGCAGTATCCAACTGTACTAAACAAATTCCAAGAGTTTTCTGAGGTTACTTAGCAGGATCTTGCTTTTCCCACTTCACTTTTTGCTAGCCCTTCTGCCCCTGTGTGTGGTAAAAATGACCATGTAAAGTGTATTTGTTTCATTTTAGTTACAAATTCCAGGAGTTTTCTGAGGTTATTTAGCAGGATCTTGCTTTTCCCCCTTCACTTTTGCTAGCCCTTCTGCCCCTATGTGTGGTAAAAATGACCATGTAAAGTGTATTTGTTTCATTTTAGTTAGAGAGGATGTGTGTAAAAATGGTTGGCAAGATCTTGTTCATCTTGTCCAGGATTCTTTGAAAAAATTCTGTCATATTTATTGGTTTTGAAAGCTTTTGAATTTTAGCACAGATAAATTACTAGGTCCTAGTAAATGCCTTTTCTTCTGCAATTCCATTTTGATGAGTTACAAGCACCTTGTCTGCTGTTTCTCCCATAGTGTGGCTGCTTGGTGTATCCAAGTATCTCCACACAGACATTTGTAGTGAAGACTGAGTCATTGCCTAGCAAAGCAAAGGCAATAACTTCCAAAAACAGAGCAGTAAGCAAACTGTAACTTGGCTGTAGGGTTGTATTTATCTGCTATAATTTTTCCGTATCATTAAGTCCATTTGGATGGATGGTAATGAGGTAATGAAATAGCAATTAAACATATTTTTGCCATTAGTATGCAGCTTCCTGCTGAAGTCTGAAAACCTCCTAGTCTGGCTAGAAGTTAACTTTTGGTGTTCTATCCTGTTTTTGTAGGAGTGCCCCAGGGACCAGGGTCCAGGTGCTGATGAAAAGTTTATTTTCATCAGCTGGGGAAGGGAGGGAAGAGCCAGTTGAGATAACATTTGAGTATTATCTGGTATTGTTCCACCTTCCATGTATTTGAAACAGCAAATGACCTCAGCCTTCCACTCATTACCAAAAACTTCATTTTCCAAAACATCATCTGTGAATAAGGATTCTTGGATAGTTCTGTTGGCTGCACAGGAAAATGTTCTGAACTTCAAGGAGATTTCATCTCAGGGCTCTTGAGGTATGTCACCTTTACTCTCTAATGTTGGCCAAAGCTCAGCTGATGCCTCATAAAGAGCACTGTGGGATCTGAGCTCCACTCTTGCAGCGAGGTTAAACACAACCTGGATTAGGTGTGGGGAAAGGAGCTGTGCTAGAAGGGGCTTGGAGAGCTTCACTGAACAGGTTTAACTTGTCCAGTCTAGTAAGGCTGATTACTATCTGTAAATACAGGAGTGGGAGAACTGAGAATGAGGTGAGGTTTAAGTCAAACAAAATAAAAAGGCAAAGCACCTTAAAATTTTTCTCTTCTAAATGTAAGAAAGTGTTTCCAAACTCTTCTTGTTTCAGTTCTGGGGACAGAAAACCTGATCTCCTACTTTGTAAACCAGTAACCATTATCTTGTGGTACCTGTTGCAGATGAGGTTTGCAACTGGTGGTTCAAGATGTTCACTTCAACCTTTAACTGAGGGATTGATGCATTTCTCTTACAGCTCCCGAGGACAAGTTGTGTTCTCACCACTCTACAGATGGGGGAAAAGGAGGTGATGGGATTTGCCTGATGCCATCCATGAAAACAGGCAGAGAGGGCCAGAGCTGGCAAGTGAGGTCATCCTGGGTCTGTTGCAGCCTCTAGGAAACAGTGCCTGGCTCTTAGAGGTACTTGTCATGCAGTGAGAAAAGTGCAACAAAGAACGTGGGTGACTGATCTGAATTTCTAAATGTTACACTTCGGGCAGCTTGCACTGAGGAGTCACAGAACTGGCCCAGAAATAAATCACCACCAACTGCTCTTCTAAATGACTTAAGGGACAGCTGCTGAATTTTAGAAGATTTCGTAGGCCTGCTCATGCTAGATCACTAGTCTGTTGTAGGAAGTCTAATTAAGTTAATTACCTCTTGATCAATACTTTAGATTTTAGCTTCTTTACATGAAAGGTTCTAATAACACTTCAGTACTTTCACAAAGTTGTAAAGCTGTACAACTGTATAGCACCCTGCTTCAATCTTTTTATTTTATTTGGTTGTTGAGTCATCCCTCTGCTCCATTTAACAGGAGTTTTAATATTTCTAAGCCCTGTAGCAAATAATCACAGAATAGTCTGTAAAACTTCCCAGAGATATTTCAGCAAAACTGTGCTAAAGGCCATCAGTGATTCTGACTAAATATAGTATTTAAAGTATAGTTAAAACATGAAGTTATATTCTTTAGCCACTCACATGTGTCAGTGTGAGAGATGCCATCCTGTAACTCAGGCTTCCTGGATGTGCTGCAGCTGAAGGGAATGTTTTGGCAACTAATAAAAATAAGTTATTTGGGGGTTTTAATATGTGTCATGACATCAGCTTTGAAACTTAACCCAAAACACATTGTGATCTTGCATTCCTAATCAGCTTTATTAATCAGAAAGCACTATTTTATCTTGTTCTTTATGGAAATTGGGGTGCAGTGGGAATTTTCATGAGTGTATTTGATCAGTGAGATAAAAGACACAACCTGTGGCTTAGGAGGTGTTTGAACTCTAAACTGTTGAAGGTCAGAGGAGGGTTCTGAGGAGCAGCTGCTATATGTTTGCTCTTTTTTTCAATTTCTTTTGCTGTATCCTAAACTGCTGCTCCTGGCCACTGTAAGAATCAGTGTTGTGGACAAGATGGACCTTTGGCATGATTTAGTGGAATTGGTCTGTTAGATGGGTAGAGTAAATAATTCTTGAATTTCCCAGT